TTAACTGACTCACTTATGTTTGGAGCATTTTTAGGCCCTGTTTTATATTCAAAAAATCATGTCTAAGCATCAGTTTTGTTTTCTAAATAAAACCATAAAAACTAATTAATAACTCAAGTAATTTATTTTATCAATATGCAATAGAAATGTATATTAAATTTAAGATTAATCATGATCAATTCACAGCTACTTTGGGATTAATCAGATTAAAAATATTAATCATTTGACAGCCCTAGTCTATAAATAAGTGTGTGTATAGTGAAGAAAAGATGATTCATTTAGCTAATAGTTATAATCTACTTTGATAGGAAAGTTTGACTCAATTTTACATGCATCTATTTTATACTCAATCCTATTACTAACATCTTTAAAAGGAGTGATATAGATCACAAAGAAAAAGGATCATTCATCCAATTTTTCTGGTGATTGAGATATGTTACTGAAACAATAGCTATAAAACAGTTTTTGAAATTGTTGGGAATAAATATTTTCTCATTCAGTCTTAATATGCAATGACTGATAATAGATAAACTATAAAAAAAGAAAAAAGGGGTTTGGCTGAAAACATTCCAGCCTTAATGTCGAAGCTATAAAACTGTATTATGACCACAGTTTTATTTTTCTTCTATAATATCACAGAAAGTGTCTCGTGTGGTTTCTCTGTGCTGAAGCTGGGCACACGTTAACTCCACCCTTGTTATCTGTTTTCAATGAATTCCTGTGTGAGAGTTTGAATGTTCGAATGTTGAAAGCAGCGCTGGCAGATAAGMCTCACTGCTCACCCTTTCCTCAAAAACAAAAAGGGTTTTAATGTGGGATAAATAAAGAATGCAGTTTTATAGCAATGAGTCATCACTCTGCTTAAAGTGATGGTCCTGAATTTTTGAAATGAGAAAGGTTAACAGTTACTATCTTACCTGTTGTAGATAGCTTTTTGTTTGGAACTGGAGTTCAAAAACCTGTTTACTGTATGTTCCAGTGGGAATAACATATGGGTTTGTGATTTTACTGAGTTTTTACTAATGTCTTTTTTTAGAGGAGGGGGTTGTAATTCTAAGTGAATAGATGAAGCTAATGGCTAGTTTGAGCTGAACCAAGACAGATGGTTGCTGTTTAAATACAACTCAGTTTATGTAAAATGTTTAAAAGTTTTATAGTACTTTTTTTTCCTCTGAACTTTATTTTTTAAAGCTCAAATAGTGTCAACAAGCCTTATGATGATGACAATGAGGAAATTATTAATGATGTAGAAATGATTGTTTTGTTTTATTTTGCAACACAAATAACTTTTCATAAAGGGCAACAATAAAGCAAACTTGAGAGCTGGTCCCAAAGACATGCAGCACATGTTATTTACACCCAAACAAACACATGTAAACACTCAGGATGAAAACTCAACACGGTCCATTGTTTTTGACCCAAACAGAACTCCCATCCTTCCTTGAACATTCTTTCCCCAAACACAAACAGCAGGCAGTAAAATCAGTCCAGACAGGGAGTAACACAGCTGGGTGGTGCTTGATCCCCCTTCACCACATTTAGCAAAAAAAAAAAAAAAAGTGACCCTGTGAGAGGCACAATGGGGCATGGAAGGACAGCAGAACAGTGCCAGAGACATAACCAGCATTTTAAAAACTCAAACTGCAGAGGGGGGAAAAAAGGGGGTGGGTGACTGGTTTGTGAAGTTTATTGAGAGATGACGGAGCAYGAAAAAAATGTGCGAATGTTAGAGTTCAGACAGAGCTGGAAACTTTCAGGGGATCAGTGAAGCTGCAGCAGGAAGGGTGTTGTTCATAAAAGACCACCGCTCCAACCGTCTCACTCAGTCGGCTCATTCATCGACAGCCACAACTGGAGGTAAGTCCTGCTGAAAGATGAAACACAGAGATCATGACTTGTTTTTATTGAGTGTGGGAAGAAGAACAACTTGGCTGGAAATATGTTTTTTAAACAGAGAAAAATTAGGAAAAAAACTATTATATTGACGACTGTGTAAAACATAAAATAATTTAGCACATTTTAACTTTTAAAATGGTTAAATCCTAATTTTAAGTTTAACCTCACAATATAAGTTTGTTTATGGTTCCTTACATACAAATCTAAGATAATGTTTGTGGTGTTTTTTTTTTCAGACATATTTCTGTTTATACAAAAAAGACAAAAATGAGCAATTAATGGACATTTTTTAGACTACAGGCCACTCAGAACTTTTAATTTGGAATAGAATAGAATAGAATAGAATAGAATAGAATAGAATGGTTTTATGGCAGTTTAAACTTGGCTCGTTTTTGTTTCAAGTTTTTAATTTAAACAATGTGAATATATAATTAGAAAGAGCACTACGTTTACAAGTTGAAAGCAAAACAGGATGTCTTGAGCTTGAAAGGACCAAAACTACATGATGATTTTATGGTGTTGTGTGAAAATAATGTTTTTTTTTTTTTGGTTTGGGTGGTTGGTTGTTTGAAAACACGTCCTGAACTCTGAGCTGTAAAAAACAAATGGTGACAACAAAACTACACAGTGATAATTCTCAATTTTTCAGTTAAACTAATTTCTAACCAATAAGAGATCGGAAATCCAGAATTCATTGGTTAATTAAACATTTACTAACAGTAAAAACATTTTAAGCAACTTTCTTTTAAATCCAAATGGGGCACCTTCACCACAACTTTTAATTGAAAGCAGACACCAAGATAAAATGTAAACAGCTGTGATTATTTATGACCTTCTTGGTTTTAAAAGAAAGAAAGAAAGAAAGAAAGAAAGAAAGAAAGAAAGAAAGAAAGAAAGAAAGAAAGAAAGAAAGAAAGAAAGAAAGAAAGAAACTTTCCTCACCAAATGACCTCATTTAAGCTTTATTTGAAAATGACTTCCTCTAAGAGGAAGTGTTTTCCTCCACGAACATCTCAGCCACTCAGAAACAGTTCACGTTTCCCAGCCTTAAGTTTCAGACAGACTCTGTAAAGAGAAGTGGGTCATTWTGTTGGCACAGCTCTGTCTTCCAAACCTCCGGTGTTTCTTTTTTTTCTACAAACATGAAAAGCAGCCTCAGTCTAAATCAAGAGCAGGCCATCTGTCGTGTTGAGATGCATAGAAAAGGCACCGTAATGTTTCGCTTGTAGCTGCAAACTTTCTGACAATCATCTGGTTTAGAAGCACATATGTAAAAACACTTGACAGCCCACTTCTGGAAAAAGTGTGATCTCTAAAATGAGAAGCACAAAGTGTCCGACTTAAGGCTTTTATGCCAACGGTCTCAAAGCTTTGTGCTTTAACAGCCAGTTGTGTCAGCAGTGTTGGCAGGTAATGCTCTTACTCACCAGCAACGATGAATTGATTTATGCAAATGTTTATTTCTGGCATAAAACAGGAGTGCTGAGGCTGCAGTCTCTGCACACTACTACTAATTAGAGTTGCCTTGAGCAGAACTTCCTTATAGTAGTTATTTAAAGTGTCCCTTAGTGGCACTAAAAGGAGAAAGACACAGTGGTCCACAGGARACTCAATATTATTGTTGGAGGAAATAAACTTTTCACTGGTTTGCAGAACACCATCTTTTCAATTTGTTTTGGGACCTTGGCAGCATCTTGACAAATCCTGATATCAGTGAGCTTTAAATACATGAAGTTTAAATGATTCTGAGGAGAAAAAATATTGGTATCACTGCACTTTGAGGGGGAATAAAATATTTAAACTTTTGAAAACATTTGCTATTWGAACTAAAGAGTACGCATTTCCCACAAATTTGCAGTGTGAATGCTTAATGCTGAAAGATTTGTGCAGAATAACTAAAAACAAGCTGAAACCAGCCTAAAAATAGCTACAAAAGTAGCCAAAATAGCTAAAATTAGCACTAAGAAACAGAGCATGTTTGCTGAATTGAGCAGTAAGAAGTTAAATAAATAAAAATAAAAATGAGCTAAAAACACAGACAACAGCCAAAATTAACAAAGAGCAGCTAAAAGAAGCATAAAACGCTTAAAACAGCAGAAAGAAATGAGCAGAAAAATCACATTAAAAGGTCTGATTGAAAGGTAAAAAGCAGWAAAAAGCTAAAATTAGCAAAACAGTAGCCGAAGGAAGCTGACATTAGCACAAAGAAGTAAAAAAAGAAGAAAAAAAAGAAAGAAAAAGAACCAAAAGTTGAAAAGTACAGTAAAGATTTACAAACATTTTAAAGGGTTTTAAGGGTTTTGAAGACAGCTCCATTGATTTTCAATGAGAAAACATGGCAGAAAATCTAAATATCTTTAAAAGTACAAGTATATATTGCTAAATACCTAATGTCATAGCATGCCTGAAAGGAGCTGGACTTTTGGTATATAAATTGTTAAAATGGCACAATAATTGCAGAATGAGTTCGATGCTGAAAAATGAATGGAAGGAAAAATATCTCAATAGTGTAAATGCTTGATAAACATTCATGTTGATAAATCACAGCTCAGTCTGTTTTAGACAATCAGTTATAAACTCCCTTTGTCTTGCTACTGTTCTTCACCAATCTATTACTGACTTAATTATCTTTTTTTGACATTTAACGGCTAAACTAGTGGGATTTATCAAGCAAAAATTGGAAATAGAATTTTTCACAACTACTTAAAGTTAAAATAATTTAGTGTATAACATGAATGAATAGGGCTAACTGAAATTCTCACAGACAGCTTATTTTTCAGACAGAAATGAAAGAGTTTATGGTAAAAACAAACAAACAAACAAACAAAAACAAACTTTTGTGCTAAATGATGACGTTCCCCAACTGAACCATGTTCTCTTTTTTTCAATTTTAGGAAAACAATGGACCTGCCCATGTTCTGTCGTGTACTTGTACTTCTCTGCTCCCTGAGTGCTGCCTGGGCATGTCCAAAAGGATGCAAATGTGTTCAAACAAATGTCCACTGTGCTGCTCTTCCTGACTTCCCAGCAGCTGTGCCATCAGCCACCACCCATCTCTACCTGACAGACTGCAGTTTTGACATTCTGAAACCAGAGGACCTCATCGATTTCTCTGCTGCTTTGAGCAACTTTATGATTAAAAACACTGTTTTGAGGGAAGTGCGTCCTGGCACGTTCAATTCCACTCTAAACATGGGTGCCCTAGCGCTAACTGGCACAAAAGTACAAGATCTCCCTGAACCCTTATTTCACAAGTTGCAGAGATTAGAGACTTTGGTTCTGAAGTTCAACATGCTTTCGGTGATCCGACCTCAGTGGTTTTCTCTGCTGACAAACCTGAAGCAGCTAGATCTCAGTAAGAACTCCATACCTTCTGTACCCGAGGAAACGTTTCAACCTCTAACAAAGCTGGAGTACCTATCACTTTCTGGAAACAGTATCAGTCAGCTATTTAGTGAGACATTCAAGGGTCTTATTGATCTGAAAACCTTACGGCTTAACAAAAACATCCTGAAGGAGCTCCCTGCTGGGAGTTTGGATGACCTTGTAAACCTGGAGGAACTCTCTCTTCAAGACAACTTAATCTCTCATCTTCATCATGATTTGTTCTCCAAGAATCTGAAGCTCCAGAAACTGTTTCTCTCCAGCAACCGTCTGACATCACTTCCTCAAGGGATCTTTATCAATATGCCCCTCCTTTCCCAGATTTCCCTTTATGAAAACCACTTGGAAAGTCTGGGTCCAGGGATTTTTGGGCCAATGCCCCTGCGAGAGTTGTGGTTGTACGACAACAAACTGAGCCGATTGGAAGATGACACGTTCAGAAACCTAACTCGGTTACATCTCCTGGTCCTCAGTCGCAACCAGATCAGCTACATATCCAAAGGTGCTTTCAGAGGGTTGGACCACCTCGGAGAAGTATCGTTGCACACCAACCTGCTCACAACCCTGCAAGCTGAGACCTTCCAAACGATGCCCAATCTGTTCAACATTTCTTTGGAGCACAACTTCATCAGCTCGCTTCCTTTGGGTTTCCTCAAGGGCCTGAGCCATCTGGGGCAGATAGACCTGCGAAACAATTCTCTCCCTAACCTACCACAGGAGAGCTTAGATGCACTCTCTGCTGCACAAGAAGTTCTTCTGCATCAGAACCCCTGGAGGTGTGACAAAGACATTTTGCCTCTRAGGGACTGGCTGACACAGCACCCATCAAAGGTCAACCAGACCCTCGTGATGTGYGAAACTCCTTTTAGTCTGAACGGTAACGTGATTGCGACACTGTCAGACGAGGACCTGATGCCATTTGGTTCTACTAAAGAGCCTGCGTTGACCTCAGCTGAGAAGAAAAGGACACTCGGTACCCTTCCTCCCAAAGAAGGCACATTGTTACCTGGTGTGAACGTCACACCCACTCTAGAAACTGAGGAGGAGACCATCAGCGGGAAAAAAGATGGCAAAGTTAATACTTCAATTATTCTAATCGCCATTGCGGTGGTGTCTACCATTATAATCAGCTCTGTTATCATCGGCTGCGTGTGCTGGCAGAGGAACAAGAGAGGCACGGCAAATATAGGCCAAAGGAATAAGAACGCCGTGCTGTAGATAAGCTCTCACACAATGAGCAACCAGAAACTTTTACATCTGCAAAATGACAGCTGTGGTCTATTTGAAAAATAACACAAAACACAGAGTTGATTGCAGAGCCTCAAAGGCACCTTACCAGAACACATAGGCCACATAGAAACAAACAACCACTCACACCCTCATCTAGAGCAGGGGCGGAGCTACAGGGGTGGCCAAAGTCGTGACTAGCATTTAACATGAATTTTGGGGTCATTCTTAGCTATGATCACAAAAGTTCAGCTCAGTATTTCTTAACAAAGCTGAATTAAAGCCATTTGACTGATAATATGTGTCAAATGAAAGAGGTTCACTGCCAAGGTAAGCCTCTGGCGGCTGGCTTGCATTTTCAAATCCAGAGTGCTTTTCTGTATTTGGATGTGCCCCTCCTACAAATAATGTTAATAATAATAATAAAAACACCTTGGCCACCCCTGTGTCAGCCCTTTCAAAAATGTCTATCTTCTCCTCTGACCTAGAGACAATTTAGAGTTACCAGTTAACCTAACATGCATGTTTTCTTTGTCTGTGGGAGGAGACCATGATGCCACTTTCTTGCTGACGCCTCAGTGCCGCAACTTCAAACTCATTAACTGTAAAAAAAAATACATTTCTATTATGTGGTCATCCTGCACCTATTCTGAATGTGTGACTGTTTTTGGATGAATTTAAGAAAGCTTTGTTGATTCAGTATTATTTGTGGGCTGTTTAATACTAATTTTGTGCAAACAACAATCTAATTAGAAGGGGCTATGAWGGCTCAAATTTTTTGTACATGTTTAATTAAAAAATTTAATGTGAGCACAAACTAATGAATAAAATGCCTCTGTTTAAATAAAAGCATAAGTGTTCTCTACAATCTCACATTGTGTTTAAAGTTATTACAACGACTGTGATGAAAGTAAAGGTGSAAGACTGGAGTCCTGCCTGAAGATAATTAGATGACGGATTCAATGAAAGCTGAGTGTGTGAAAGGCAGAAAGTAACTTAAAATTGCAGCAAAGTAGAGTAAAGCTCTTGTTTCATTTTCAAAACAGTCGCATCTACCCTGYTGATTTCACTTAACAGCTATGTGAACCTACAGATAGCAGGGAACCTACTAAATCATATCATTATATGATAATAAAATATATAATTATTAGGTTGTGAACTCATTGTTCATTTGTTTTGACTGTCATCTAGTGGTTGGATATTAGAATGACATCTCGAACATTGTAACCAGACTAGGCGTCCGCAACTTTTACAATCAAAGAGCCATTTCTACTCCTCGGCTCACTAATAAAATGTGTCATGAGCCGAAAAACGTGCTAAAGCTGTGATGATCAACTGCTAGTCCGTGGGTCTCTTTGAGTTTATTGAATGGGGGCCTTGCCAGGTGGAGGGGGTGACATTATAAAATAAAAAAAAAATACAGCAAATTGCAAGTATGCTTTTATAAGACTACAAGCGCAAAATACAGTTAACAATACTCTAAATGCTTGATTGTTGTTATTTCTGCATTTTTAAAACAGTATTATGTTTAAT